TTGAGTAATACATGTATGTAAGTAAATGTATGCTACGTGAAAACAAAAAAGCAGTAACACATGGGATGCGTTGTTTTATAAAATACAACGAAGCGAAATACAGTTTCAGGTAACAAAATTGCCAAACTCGTATTTTATACGTAACATTTGCCTACCTGAAATCGCATTCAACCGAATCAGAATTTTCAAATAAAAATCCGATACTTTTTATTTGGACCATAAAACGTGACCTACGGATGGAGTTGAAGCTTCATTTTACAAACACATCGTTAGGAAAGGTCAATTGCTTCCATAAATTGGGTATATGATTGGTAAACATACTTTTTTATACCCCGGATGTGGTGGATATATTGAATCTGAAAAAATTATATTATTGAAAAAGATTCATTGAATTGGGTAGTTTCCAGGGTATCAAAATTAAGAATCTAATTAGTCCGTCAGTTAGATAATGAAAAAATATTAGACACGTATGTTTTATTGTCTCATATTAAGTTGCAATAGATACTTAGATAAAATGGCGCTAAGTTTAGGAATGGGAGGTTGTTACGTCATAACGTGCTACAAAATGCAAATTAATACATCGTCGAAAGTATTTAATTTTGTAAGAAAAGAAAAAATACGTGTCTAATGTTTTAAATTAATCTACCAGACGAACATTAAAATAAAATTTAGGAAACTACCCTATTAATATCTAGTAGACTTCGAAACACGGAACATTCCCATGGAATAAAAAGTAGCATTTTGTGTTGTTACAGACCCATAATCTACACTTGTTACAAATTTCATCCCGATCCCTTCAGCCGTTTTGACGTGATTAGTTAAAATACATAGACATAAACTGGCACTTGAATCGTTTACAATAAAACAAATCTGTTTTGGTGTCCATCTTCAATAAAATTAACTATATTTCCTAAATAATTGTAACTGACATAATTTTAATTAAAATACCGCAAACCTTGGATGTCCATAAACTTTCAATCAGTTTCCATTTTGTATGTATGTAGATCCTTCAACTACATAAATATGTATATTCACTTTCAAATCAATACAATTTGAATAGAAACTAATGCCAATCACATTACAACCACTGGTTGGTCAGATATTAATAGATATGGTTTACAATATTCTATATCTATTGCGCATTTAACCACAATTCTGGTACGGGTCATAGATCATCCATAGCTGGGTGACGTTAATTAAAATGTATTGTTTTGTTGTTATATTGGACCAAAATTCAATAATAGGTATATTTTTATAATTATAAGTTTGAAGTACTTACCTAAGCACCTAACTACTACCTATGCACTTACTAGACTTATGGCCATCTTCACCTACCAACCCTGAACCATCTCTTAACTAAAAGTTGCACCGTGATGTAGCACCTAAACTAACCCCTTACTTGTAATGTTAGGTGTCACTTACAGATTAGTGAAAATGTCATTAAATGTCACCTAATTGGTTTAGGAGTAGGTACCATAAAATACAAGAGAAACTGGTGAAAATAAGTATTAAAGTTACATATCTTATTGTCAAGTTAGGACATAACCTTTAAAACGATTGAATCATTATTTTATTCAAACTAAATCACATCATAGGTTTAACACTTGATGACCAATACTTATAATTACTTATTACATTTTTGTACAACAGTCACACAGCCTAAAGTCCTAAACTAAGTTACATAACCGACCACAACAAAACATATTTAAAGTGTAGTAAACACTTTTATGAGCACTAACAACAACTTTGTATTGTACCTACGTAATATAGTAAAGCTAAGCCCTAAGTAAAAGACCTAAGTAACACACACCTCGCCTTCTTTTTGATATAGGAAAATCATCCAATATTTTCTCCCGCCTTGGGTGACGCGAGAGTGAGTGTCAGACTCTCACTGACTAAAAACCACCCCGTACCTCTGCTTTTCAAGCCGGGGTCCCAGCAATCTGTTAAGTTCTTCGCGGCTCCATATCGGCATTAGCCCTGTTGGGCCCATCGGTGGTGGTCTGAAGTCACTCTGAAGCGCGCGCGGAATACAATACATTTATCACTATCCCTGATTCTTTAGCCTTCCCGCGACAAAGAGAAGAAGAACCAACATTCAAGCGGTCACCGGTGACCGCTGTTCACTACACCAATATAGACCTTATTTCCGATGTTTAGAGACTACTTTTGTATGAACAAATATTGTGTATTATTCATAATCAGACATTAAGAAGTTAATGGATTATTTTATTCAACCAGGTTAAAACGTTCTGTGACAATATAAACATTAAAACTGATATCTCAAATCGAAACATGGAAGTTATGGCAAACACTCATATGTAGAGGACGCTCATTGGGTCCAGCACTAGAGTGTCATTGGCTGTTGATAATAAAAAGAAAAGGAATTTCTCTACTACTTAACAAGACTATAGAATTATGGATCTTACTGAAAAAAAAAATTCTTCTTTATTCTTTATGTCAAAGCCATGTGTAAATAAATAAATTCTATTCACGTTTTGTTTGTGGATGAACTATCGTTTAGAAATGTCTATAAACATATTTCAATGATAAAGGATTAAATATCTAAAATGTTTTGAAGCAGCAGGGTTTAGTCAACCTACACGACAACACATGTTTGTACTTACTCAAGAAATCCGATCAAGCAAGTAAACCCCGGCTACGATGGCACTGAAGCTAAAGCACCCACGTGCTAAAATAAATAGACGTTACATCTATAGAAAACTATTTAAAACAAAACTTAGGACAACATTAAAAATAAAATGATGAAGAAAATGTTCTCCAATTTTGCCAGTAGGACAGTTTCACATTAATATCAGAGGCCTTAGTACGAGTTTGTTTTACGTTTAAAATAATCGTAACGAGTACGCGTTCGGCGCTCTGATTGGTTGCTTCATTGGCGCCGGCCAATCAGAGCGCTGAACGCATAATCATTTCGAATACTTTAAAATTAAATCAAACTCGTACTAAGGCCTCAGTATCGAATGAAATTAACATTATTTAATACCAACCATGAAACAAATAAAAACCTAGAAACAAAACTAATTTGCGAACTCGCTAATGTACCCTAGGTGAGTAACAGAGTAGCCAGTTCGTAGAAACTTCCATCAAGGTGTCAAAGTAAAGTGCTTAAATAAGGAGTTTATAATTATCCTCTTGGTATAACGTCTAGAAAATTCTCAACTGTGTCTCAGCTTAGCAAGAAGGACGGAAGCTCTTCAACATTATTCTGAATACTTGAATGTTAACGACTGTGAGAAATGCTTGTTAAGCCCTTCTTGAATTAAATTTATTTATGAACTCGTAATTTATAGTCCGAACTTACCACAACTAGTCCATTATGATTTGTGATTGCTACAAACTAATTTTGCTAACTTAGTACCTACGTATATGATGTAACAGTAGAATCTTACAAACCTTACGTAGAAAGTGTATTTATTTATTTATTAAGGAAAAATAAACAGCAACATATACCTATATATATTACAAAATATACATAATCCAGCTTACATATTATACTTGGCAAATATGTTACCCACAGATTACTTTTATATTAGATCTAGAGCGACACAAATATAGATACATTTTTCAAATAGAATAAACTAATGTAAAACAACTTACGCGAATAATTAAAATGGTCACAAACAATTGTTAAACAATTCTTACAATTTCTTAATTTCTTTCTCGATTTGTAGTGCATACATTATCAAAAGATCACTAGTGATTAGCAATTACATAACTAAAAATAAAGGAGGTGGAAACACACTTTGGCAACATTTTGTATGTAAGTAGAATATGACAATTTTTAATCGTCTAGCAGTTCTGTATAATAGAGTATGTATAAGATACCACATAACAATACAGGACAAAGTTTTTCAATTCCCAGCACCTCGGTGAAACAGAATGGGGTAGCAGCAATATCGCTTTCAACTTATATCCCCTTGTCAACAACTGGATTTCAGCCAACGAATTTTGATCTTTTTCGTTTTTTTTTAATTTTCTACCTCTCTTGTGTATTGGTAGTTTGTAAATGGAAATTTCAAATTCATGGAATAAAAGCATTGGCAAGATACAACAGACACAACCATCTGTACATTAAAAAAAAATACTTTTATGTTAAAACATTTTAACATAACATAACATCACGCCTTTTATCCCCGAAGGGGTAGGCAGAGGTGCACATTACGGCACTTAATGCCACTGTACAATGTAACACCCACTTTTCACTATTTGTGTTATGAGTCCCATGTGACAGTCTATTGCCATATACCGGGCACATTTCCAGACTCCGTGCTACTACTGAGGTCTTTACAAACCCAGTAATACTTTGCCCGACCCGGGAATCGAATCCGAGACCCCTTGCCCGGCAGTCGCACTTGCGACCACTCGGCCAATGAGGCAGTAAAACATTTTCAAAGTGTATTTTCTCAAACATAAAATTATATTGATTTTGTGCGAAAGAACTACTTAAACGTAGATACTACTCTCTCTAACTTTCCCATCATAAGATATTAGTAGCATATGTTCAATCAACAAAATATCGCTTATAAAGCTTTTAGCTAGATTTGAAAGTCAGTGATGCCCAAAACATTAACTAATAACATTAGCTCACAATGGACTTTAAAACTTTAGCAAAGCCGGCCATTTAGGTTTATTCATCGTTCATTCGTTCGGCTTTTGTTTCCCAATGTTCGTTCAAAACCTCTCACTTGAAGGAACTAAGTGCACAAGCGTGTTGCCAATCCGATATTCCACCACTAGCTTTGTTTGAATCGAATACTACACATATATAGACCTCAACTATCTATCTATAGTTAGATTATACCTAAACTAAATTTCCTTCTTCATACTCGTACACAAATCCCTCACTAAATATTTATTAATGTCACAGTCTTTTTGCGGTCTTTGATGTAACTTGAACGCCTTCAAACTTATCGTCTCTCATCTCGTTGCTTTGTGCTTTTGTTTTTATTAATTTGTTATTATTTTCTTTGTTACAGCGAGCACGAATTTAGTGGGCAAGTTCACCCAGAGCGTCCGTCGTATCGTGCAAGATGTCAAGGATGAAGGCACATCTAGTAAGTACTTAACACAATTAAATGTTCACAATATTTGTTTTAAATCTTCATAGATCACAATAATTTCAACAAATAATAACAAACTATTTTCTTTCATTTTGTTTTCGATTGAAAATGTAGGATAGTGCTGTATTCGAAGTAAAAGCGACTGTAAGGTTAGCCTCGTTGCCGGCCGGAATGTTAAGAGGCTGGCTAGCCGACCCGGTCATTGATTTGTGTAGCCGGTAGATAAGGACTACAGAAACATATCTCTTTCCTTTACGACTGCTACCTATTTGTCGCTTACTTACCCAACAATACTGAGACTGAATATATTTATACCTGACTGTTGAAACCTTGAATTTAGTTTACCTTATCGAAAAAGAAGACATTGTACAGAAAAGCTTTTCCCAGCATTACTAAATAATTTTGCAGTTCTTGTAACGCATAGCAATTTCTATTACCAGGCGGGCAGACGAAGGAAGAGGTGATAGAAACCAATGAACGTCTTCGCGGAGTGCGGGTGCGTCTCGATGAGAACTATGATACGGCGAAGAAGGCGCTCGTCACACTCATGGCTCGCTACAGCGAGTCCAAGTCCCAGAGAAACGTGTTCACAAGATACGCATTGCTCAAAGCTATGATAAAGGTATAGTAAATATTTCATTTTAAATAGGTACGTGTTTTAAAAAATATTTGTCTATGGTTTCACCAGAGGCATTGTTTTTTACCAGTGATAGAATTTTCTTTATCAGAATTTAGAGTTGATTTTAAAATAATTACTTTAATAACATACTTTTTTTTAAAAGAGTAACGAACGGAGTTTCTAGCTCGTTCTTCTCCATTCGAATCTACATTTTGGAATGAGCACCTAGCTTCACCTAGCTGACAACGGACTGACTGACAGACTATTATTTATTTTGTATTTGTTGACGTTTCAAAAGTACCAAATTATGGTTTAATTGAAATAAATGCTTTGACTTTGACTTTGAAATGTGTAAAACACATATCATATGCATGTCATATATGACAATGATTGATATCCTCACTTTTATTGTACCAAAAGTCAAGTGGCAGTTAGATATAACGGTGCAGTTAGTCGCAGATGGCTTTAACTGCTATCCCGTTCAGGTGCAATTGCAAAAATCTCGTTCTGATCGAATTTTCAACATAGGTACGGTACAGCAGAAAAATATTTCACCCTTCATACTTTACATTCCTACTTTAAATACGTCGAACCTCTATACAGACTGTCAAGTTCACAAATCTTTACGAAACAAAGTCGTAAATCACGTAAATACTAACATTTTGACAAATATCACACAGAAGTGCTATTTACAAAAAAATTTACGACGGCTAGTAAATTATATACAGTCACCTATAAAATCTAAGGTAAGGTAAGCAGGTACCTGACAAAGATAGGTACCTCGTTAGTTACTTATACCAATCAACGGGATGTCACGTCTTATATGAAGTGTGCTAATGTTAACTTAATTCAATTATAATGACTATAGATCTATCAAAGTTGAAGTATTTGATTATCAACAACATTAATTTAATCCGGTTTCAAATACATACAAGTAGCTACTTAAATCACATTGCTCTTTGACATATAAACATGTATCTTATTTTTATTATCTATATTTGACTATTTTTATGTAGGTATCTAATGTTTATTGAAACATATTTACATAATATGTATAAGTGAGGATATACAAGTGTAATCCAAGTCAAATACATTTTCAATTGCAATAAATTACAAGAAGTGAATGACAGCTACTTAATTGTCTTAAGACGAACAATAAATTGTGGAAATGTATGCGCGACAAGTCTTCCATTTGAATTGAATGCACTTTGAAAATACGCCGACACTGGGTCTTATTATAAACAGCCTGTATCTCTGAGCCTATGTCGTGGTGGTCCGGAGGTTTAAGACGCCCGCTTCTCATGCATGAGGGTGTGGGTTCGAAACCTACTAACGGCAAATGCCAATGTGACTTTTTCCGAGTTATATGTAGGTACTTTCTAAGATCATCCAGACACCAGTGATAAACGGTGAAGGAAAACATCGTGAGACCACCTGGACTTAAAATTTCTAATTATAAATAAGTTAGTAATCGCCAACCCGCATTGACCAAGCGTGGCGATTAATGCTCAAACCTTCTCCGTGTGAGAAGAGCTGCTGCTTGCTCAGCAGTGTTATAGGATGTTGATGATGATATTTGAGCCTAGAACATTACATATGTTCTGGCTCTTGACTCAAGAATTTATTACGCGCTAATTACTAAAAGCTTTAATACCGTATGATTAAGGTACAGACGGCTACACATCAACCTATACAAAACCAGTTTATTACGGTCTCGCTTTATATGGTCTTTCCGCTCCTTCAATGGTCAGTTTATACTGGTTTTAATAGCTTAATGTGAAGTCATACATAGAGTAGAGACTCGAGCACACAGTCATAATTTCATAATGTAATTCTATTGCTAGTTGCTTGAATGAGATCAAACGTAGATAATTGGGCTTAAACAACATAATTGGGTTTATGAATAAACATTAGAAGCACATAACAATATAGAGGTATATATTAATGAGTATGTGACTAAGGAGTAATCATAGACATCAGTAGCAGCGTGGCAAACGTTACCTATAGAGCGTCGCGTACTGCGGAATGCTGCTCATGAATATGAACCTCGATCTTGGCTTGAAACTAGTCGAGTTCCTCGTCAAACAGTCATAGACATAATGAAGAAGTTTTTAATACTTCTGCGGAAGTAGTACTTATAAGTATAAGCCCGCAAATGTGGCTTCTCACAAAACAGATGATTACATATTTGTACTTACACCTATTGTGTAAGCACCTACTTAAGTTTATAGTTAATACTGAAATGTCATCAGATTCCCACAATACGTCTATCGGAATCCTAGTACATCATGAAGGATCTTAATCTTAATCAGTCGATACCCTTATGTATTTATGGTTTCATTGTCTATCTACGGATCTCAAACTTTTCATATTCAGTAAAACATAAACGGGACAGCGAAACTAACTAAAAAATAATGTAATAATGAAACTATTTCGTTCCCAGAATTACCTACATATCCATTTCTAATGTTATCTCTCCCCTTTATAAGCTTACGTGGGTAGCTAAATAAGTAGAATTCTACAGTGTCGCACGTCGAGTTAAATTACACGGTCCTTCTGCATCTGGGACCATTGTATAATTGCGTTTAGGTATTAGGTACTACCCTAACACCGTGTTCGACTTCATTATTTAAAGAGATGTCTCAGGGAACGGATTTCTTGGTTTAAATTAATTAAATATAGGTACCTACTTTGCTATACAGTTTTATTTGTATTGCGACTGTTTTTGTTCATAGATTTAATAGAGGTTTCTGCTTCTACTAGTATCTTTATACCACTACCATTATTAAAGTTTCCTTTTCAGAGATTACAACAGTCATGCCCATTTTCATGGAAAATAGAACCAGTAAAAATATGTTTGACACTAAAAACATTAAAAAATTCGTAGCATCACATTCAAAATCGATAATAATCTTATGCCCTTTTTCTTTTACAACTCAATAAAATCGAAGCAAAACTTTTTTCTATCTTTATTATGGACAACCATAATTGGGTGAAAACATTGTAACTGAGTTAGCAATATCGTAGAGTACGTGCCACGCAAAATTCATCCTTATTTTAAACATGTCACGTACTTACATCCAACCTTCCTGATAGGGCCGCCCGCCTCGCCGAAATTCAAGGCACCTTAGGTCTTGTGCGGCCCGAATATGAAATAAGAAACAATTGGATCACTCTTAAATGTTTGTTTTTTTATTATATTAAGCAGAGCGTATTTTATTCTCGGAATGTTGATAAATTGAACCTTATAGGATACTTAGTTATACAAACAAATAATATATCATTTTAGGCCACGCATAATTTATGACTTATTTGAAAATTGTTCCTTATCTTGATAAAAGACAATATACATCCAATAGAATTACAAATAAAATAGAAATACTAGCACATTCGGAATTTATTACCCCAACTTTCTTATGCATAAGCTAGACAAGTTGTAAAACCTTGCTTAATATACACTCAGACCTGAATTCAAATGTGAATGAACTTAATTTTCTTCTCCCGAAGTTTTCACTGAAAAAGGTATATGTGATCAAATATTAAATTAAATTATGTTATAAATAGAGGTATATCTAATACGTGCAAGTGAAATTGTCCCCAAAGTTAAATCTGACTTTATACCAATATTTCCATAATTGAACCACGCAATTTTCTGATAGAAGCAACAATAACAATCGTGACCTAAATTCTTGAACAATAGAATCTTTGACTGACTTTAATAAAGCCGCAATCCACGACGAATGTCGACTCACGAACCCATCAATCATTCCTCAGTTGGACATGATCACGATTTTACATCTGCTATTGGATGTAGAATGTCTTTAAGAACACAAGAACCAAGCAATATATAAAAAAATCAACAGACGTAACATCAAATTTATGTAGAAATAAAATAATGTCGTAAATCAAAGCGAGAGCGCTATCAACTCAACAGGAATGATACCAAGGGACTAACTGAAGACAATCTTCAGGTAATAACTTGCTTCTAGCAATTTCTTTTTATTACAAATTTAGGGTTCAGATTCGTTTAATTTTGTAGATTCGAGACTTACTTACAACGAGCTTATTGCTCGAGAATACTTGAGGCAGACTGTACCTTTCTTCTTTTATATTATATTTATTCGTTGGGAGCTCAACCGCTGGTACCACGAGATTTCAGATTTAAGTTTCTTAATTGTGTTTCGTTTTTGGAATACGTAGCAAACAATTATTTAAAAAAAGGCAGACATATTGTCGCTTTGAAATGATTGAAGCTCCACGTTATGATCTTCGTGTCAATGTGCGTATTCTACAGTGACCAGGTGCCACAGACGTTATTTCAAGAGACTGTGTCCTCGTTTTATTCAACGTCCTTGGTAACAACTTAGAAGCTCGGTCCAAAAAGTTATATGTTCTAAATTAGTCCCATACCATAATCACCATGAGTGACTGATGACACATAACCTTTCCTATATCAAAATTGACATAATATTTGGTTCTTCATAAGTCGATTTCAAAATAGGCTTTACCACGACGCTTTACATGACGTGATTATTGTCCTGTTTGCTTTACACTGACATGTACGAAATGTAATTAAATTCTACTGTTCATTTGCTATATGTGATTGTGAACGTAATTACTTCCCTGTTATTGATGTAATCAAACAATATATACCTCGTTTGTGTTGACAAGGAATATGCATAAAGTAAAACAGAGCAATCTCCGTCATCATAATGTTATGGCACGACGTCACGGAGCTCTTCTCATAAATATGCAGTTTGTTACGAGATATGAGCTCAGCTTTGTTCTTACTGCGACGAGTAAGTACAAGGATAAAAGTCCATAGAGTACAGTCCCAATTAATTTAAGGAAAACATCTACAATGACAAAAACTTTGTTCGAAATTTAAAATATTTATAACATAAATAATATAATATAATTGTATATATAATAAATTTCCGAATTAATGGTTTTTGTTGCATGAAGCCATCCTAAACATTCCGTCATTTTTTATGTGACTTCCACGTTTCTTGCTTATTAAGTTCCAAACGTTTTCCAATTTCCATTTCATTTATTAAATTCAAATACTGAAATGTTACTTATTTTTAATTTGTTAAATATGCAATTACAACTTCACATTTTAGCTTTCATTTTCTGCGTATAAATCTAAACTAGGGTTTCGTATTTTTTGCAGTAGCCACACCTGTGTTTAAATCAAGGCCTTGTAGGTACAAAATATTTGCTCTAAAACTTTCTAATCCCAAAGAGCTTAAAATAAAAGGTACCTACGTGTACAGTAGTCCATATACTATATAGGTAATAGTTGTATTTGGTAAACACCATTATTGTTATCGTTATGAACCACGCTGTATGCAATGTGGGTGATATACATAAATGAGTGAGTTTGGTACCGGGCAGTCGGCCAACATACAGATGTTCTAGTTTGTGATACAATTATTTTAACTAACTTGCTCTTGCACCACCGAGAAGGAAGTGTACCGTGTTTTATATACTTTTTGTTTCCGATTCATACGATACCAACACGCGACGTAGGCTTTGCATTGTTCTACAGATAATTAAACTTTTGGCTCTAGTTTTTAATATGTGGTTTTGTTTTGTATTCGTAACTGTGACTTTATTCTTTTTTAATTCTTGCATTGTATTTGCTGCTTGCATGAAAGAAAATAATACCGAAAAATATTACCTCAGTTAACTTGGCTATCTTAGAAAGATATAGACAATTAGACATGTTTTCAGATAGGGCAGTGGAAAAGGGAGTTAACCTGTACCTAGTCAACACTCACACACACTCAACAGTCACAAAAACTACACAAATATAGACAAAAGACCGCGATGCAATTGTTCCATGCAATTTTATACACACACATTAAAAAAAAACTAAGAACGCCAACTGGAGGGGAATGAGATCGAACGAGTGAACTCATTCCACGGAACTGTGAGGAAAATCAAAATGAATTTTAATTTCCGTTCTTTTCTTGCATTTCATTTGCTTCCAGTTGAGGAATCAAAGAGTTCATACTGCAGCGGATATTACGGTTACATGTACCTTTTTCTAGGTAGAATGTTAGTTAATTGTTTTGTTCACGTTACATTTCCACATATTTTCGTCTACTCTTTACCAGCTCCTAGTTATTGTTGAAAACAAATACTTAATTAAGTTGAGGGCTAGAAAGAACGTATGGACTTCTTATACTATCATATAAAGAAGGTTGGTGACCAATGACCATAAAAATGTAACTAAAATTTTTGTCCATAGATACGTACCTATCAAAAACAAAACCTCCTTAAATTATTCCCTTTTAATACATATAGACTATTTTTCGTTGCTATTTGATTAAAAAATGAAAGACCATAGTGATAATATAAATATTTTCTACCGCTTGTCTGCCTCTTCTCGTAAATTACATTTTCATCAAGTTTTGTTTATACACGCGGTGTAATCGAATGGTGGCGTCCAAAAATCCGATGTAATGGCAACATCAATTTCGATACAAGCCGGCGACGAGAGATAATAAGGATGAAGCAATTTATCATGTTCAACATTTTTCGGTACATAGTTATTTTGATTGGTTCGTTCGTAAAAAATACTAAAGAACAACGAATTTTTATTTATTATGAAAGGGTCAAGGACAAATAACTTTAAGGGAAACGAATTTTATTGATAATCTAGTGGCTAGGTAATTAAGTCGTGTAGGTTCTTTACGTAACTTTTGGACGAGATTACTCGACTACTTTCGAGCCACACCAGGGACCCATAATCATGAACGTAATGCACGACAGTCGAAGTGACATGCATTGCAGTCAACTCATAGTTAGTGTAACAAATAACGTTGTTAGTTTATCTAAGTATGGATTCCTATTGTGTTAGGTACCTACAGATGTTTAAAATATATCTAACACTAAAACATTTCAGGAAACAGTTCTCACGTTACCAATAAAACTATGAACAGAACGAAATAATCCAGGTCCGTATCCTCCATATTACGTAACTCTGGCTCTTGTAATAAGCTCTCATGCAGACATAACCAGAAGTAGGTGTAGTTACACTTGAACATACAAAACATACAGACGGTTCATTAGACGGGCCGTTACATGGCGAGAAGACGATCTTTATCGGTAGAATTGGCACTGGCCCAGCCAAAAGTTATCCACTTTGAAATATCATCGCACAGTCTGCTGAAAGTCGTTACTGGAATTAACTTTGCAACGAAACCAGATGCCAAAAATACTGGTTTATTATTAAGTAGTTACTTTGAGTATATTTTGTTATTTTATCAGTAGCCTATCAGCTTATCAAAAATGACATGTCTAGCGATTTCAACAGCTTACCGATCATGTATGAATTTTGTGAAAACTTTCATCCTATTGTAACTATGTAATATGTATAAATGTTATACATATTACATAGTTCTATAACAAAAGAACCATTCAGTACCTACCTATTAAAATAAATGTTTACAAACAAAGCAAAAGAGTAAGTTTTCGCTGAGGAACAGGAACCTTCTAGCTAGATTTTAGTTGGTTCTAGCTAGACAAAGAAAAATACTTTTCAATTGAGTTATTCGTTATAATAGTCGGCTAATTAATAACGTTTCCAAGCAGTTTCAGCAAAGTAGCTTGTAACCTTTTGCTAAAAGAAAACTCCTGACAGTACGTTGTGCAGAAAAAATTTTATTATAATTATCAAACGATTTAATAGAACACGTACTAAATTTTTTGTTTTTAACTTGTATGGAGATATGAATAGTCGTTTCGTTCATCTGTATATATTTATCTTTATAACTTTATTGGTTGTTCATTATACAAATATAATAACATGTATATGTTACCGGCCAAACCCGATTTCAGGACAAACTAGTTTTGCCTAGGCTAAACTAGTTCTTCCTATACGCGTTAGGATTAACTAGTATAGCCTAGTTCAAACTAATTTGTCCTAAGCCCGATAGGATAAACCAGTTTAGGCTAGGACAAACTAGTTGATCCTGATATAAATACGCACACTCTAGGATTAACTGGTATGGCCTAGTCTAAACATTCTAAAATATCTAGAAAGTCGGAATAAATAGATAAATTGAATAAAATACTCCGTAATTGAAAAAATTATCATTTTTATTAAACTATAATGATTCGTCGTTAAAACTTATGGTTAATTGGTTATGCGAACAATCATGCTATAACAAATAATAAGTGTTTTTTAAAAGAAGCAATAATGATTTAAATTGTTATTAATTTAAAATCATAATGATTCGTCGCTACAAGTTATAGATAATAATTGGCAATACAAACAATCATAGGTACTATAACAAATAATACTGTTTTTATCACATAACATCACACCTTTTATCCCCGAAGGGGTAGGCAGTGGTGCACATTATGCCACTGTACAATGTAACACCGACTTTTCACTATTTATGTTACGATTCCCATGTAATAGGGGGTGAGCCTATTGCCATATACCGGGCACAATTCCAGAGTCTGTGCTACTACTGAGATTTAAAAAAAACGTGCGACGTGTCGCGGGTTCGATTCCCGCACGGAACAACACTTTGTGCGATCCACAACTTGTTGTTCCGGGTCTGGGTATCATGTGTATGTGAACTTGTATGTTTGTAAACGCACCCACGACACAGGAGAATAACCTAGTGTGGGGCAACGTTTAAAAAATAATACCCAGTAATTGCACCTACCATTTACTCTTCTCTGCATCACCCAAAGGTCAGACTGGTAGAAAACGCCTGCGGCATTAAGTATTTGTACATTTCGTGCATGAAGCATATTCAATAAATAAAATAACTACTACTTTGCCCGGGAATCGAACCCGAGACCCCTTGCCGCCGCAGTCGCACTGCAACCACTCAGCCAACGAGGCAGTCGCATTGTTTTTTTTTAAGAGACGCAATAATCATATTATGACTAGGTCATACCAGTTTATCCTAGAGTGTGCGTATTTATATCAGGATCAACTAGTTTGTCCTAGCCTAAACTGGTTTGTCCTATCGGGCTTAGGACAAATTAGTTTGAACTAGGCTATACTAGTTAATCCTAACGCTTATAGGAAGAACTAGTTTAGCCTAGGCAAAACTAGTTTGTCCTGAAATCGGGTTTAGCCGGTAACATATATATTTAGATTTTCTTGTCCGCTTGGGACATCTAAATAATATAGACGTTTCAATATTTTCGTTACTTTTATTAGTAGTAAGAAATATAGCTAGGTAAATAAAAACTTAAAAAGACTAATTTTGTTTACGTTGTCCATTTTCTAACTCTGAAGTTTTCAAATTCCAGGACGTAATTCGACTCGAGACTCAGTACTGGTCATTGGTGGAGATCCCCCGGCAGGAGAAGGCGGAGACGGTGCCGGCGTTTGTGCTACGCGCCTGTGCCATCATGGAGAAGACGCAGAAATCTGGTGAAGGAGTCAAGACATCCGCCAAGTTGGCTGAAGAAGCTGCCGATAAAAGAGAGCGGATAGAAAGACTGAACGGTAATAAAAATCAAAATTTCTTTACAAATCATACGTATACCTGTAAACACACCCTTGTGATGTGTAAATCATTAAAGGATAAATACATGAGCATGCTAGTTGAGTCCCTCATAGAAGTAGAAAGAAAGAGACAATTAAAATGGTAAAATTCTTGATTCTGGCATATTTATTTTGGTTAATCCAAATGTTTCTAACTTAAGTGCGTACCTACTTCTCACTCCATCATTCATTCTTTTAAAACAAATTCTTTTCAAGAACATAACTCTTCTCCGATAAGAACGTGCTCAACCAAGATTGCATTCTCAAATAATGACATAGTGTCGGTTCAACTTTGTGCTAGTCCAACCATCGATTAAATTGGAAAAATAAACCAAAATGTGCGCCTAAATTCTAACGTTGTTGGCAGCTCGCCAGCTTCGGTGTACAGCATTTTATTTAGCTGGATTTTCTGTCATCAATCTTTAAGCTCTTCGATTTTAATCATTGATTTAAAACCACATCGAAACTTACATTTAAAATCATATATGGAGCTAGTTTATCATCAATTTGTAGTGTAGCGTTGACTGTAATTAGATGATAAATGTAAATTGGATCCGCAAAATAGTGGCATTTCGAGCCATGTGAACTTGTCATCCATCAATGATGCAAATTGGCTCGGATTTCGTCAAAGCTGGCAGTACCAATATTTCCCCTCTGAACAAAGTAGAAAATGTATCAAGGTACAATATACGCGAACGTAGTTTATAAAGTTTGTTTTCATGAAATAGTAAAAACACAAGTAAATTAATTTGTTCGCCATATCTCATGAATATTATATCGTACACAATACCTATGAAAATGCATGAAAGTTAGGTGAAACCTAAAAATAATATACTACATAATACAATTTCATAAATTCTACATTAGTAAACCACAGTGTTCACTGTTCCGGGTCTATATTAATATTTGCGTGTCATACGTTTTCATTGTAAATTGGTGCCGGGTCTCTCGAAACCAAATTAAACATTGGGCCCGCCCCGCAAACCTGACCTAGGCTCGAATTAAGCACAAACAATAAAACGGGCTTAGACCCAAATACACTCGGGACCAAATACGCATTCATATATTCTACGAATGTACTCGTTTATAAATAGGGGCATAGGACCAACCAACGTGCTTTAGAAAGGATAGGATTTTGAAAAGAGAATTTATTGAAGAGAGAAGTTATTGCGTAGTCAACGCAGGTACTTTAGCATAAAGCCTTTGTGACATGTTCCCTCTATTACATTTCCAGATATGACTACAATCCAGATAGAAACCGAAAACACCCAGATGACTAATGATTTGTACCGTCTGTTGAAAAAATATACCGGTCTACGAAACTTAATAAGGGAACTAAAGGTAATTAAAGCTGACTTCTATATCTTAGTAATTTTGGACACTTTCGTAAGATACGTAACACTATTTCTATTTTACTTCCAGTCGGACTACGTGAGTTCCAAGGTGTATCCGATTTTCCCTCGCTACACTATGCTCAAAGACATGATCAAGGACATCATGCACGACCCTGACTACATGGAGGTGTGCCATGAAGTGGATCCATAGCGCGGGGTGCGCAAATAAATGAGGCACTCTTTCACCGACCGACAAAGGTCGTGTCGTCGCTAGTTTCGCCAAGGACGTGCAACAGTTGGAATTGGAATGAATCGGTGATCTTATGTCTACCATCTTGAAATTGTGCTATCAATTGACAACATGTTATTCAAACTAACGATTTTTACAAAAAGATATAATCAGTTTACAAAATTCTGTTACTAAACTTTATTTTGAAAATCGAAGTGTTTGCAACGGTATCCGTGTATTTAAAGATGGCGGATAAAAGATAGGGTGTGTTGGTGGAATTGGCGGCGATTAATGTGACGAGTACTCGTTTAATTTGCGCTACTTTGTTCATTGGACTGTTTATTTAGTGTAAGTTTAGATTTTAGTGAGTCTGTACTCGTCCTTATGTGTCGTTCGATTTTAATTTTGTCAGTTACCTTGTGCAACACATTAATGATGCAGCTAAAATCCAATCTAATCTTCTGAAGTTCTAACAAAAGACTTTGGCTGCTAAATATATTCTTAGCCCTTTTTCTATTTTACCCTGTGTTCTTAGTAGGTAACAATGTCGATGTTTATTTCTTCAGCTTCAATACTTATTATTGTGAAAGCATTTGTGTCTATACATATCCTTGTTGTCTCGCTGTATCAAAAAGGAGCTTTTGAAAACATAATCAAAATTAGCACTAGCTAGTCTATCTATCTACACATATCTTGTCTATATCACATTATACTACTAATCCTACCATTTTTCCTAATCATAATATCTTATTTGTCTTAGAATGTCTTATAACTTTTTGTAAATTATAGAGACCCTGATTTTCCTAGAAATATTATCCATCCACCTAATTGTTAAACACTGATAATTTTTGTAAAACTTAGGCAACATCTTAATCCTTTACAGTATCGCGATCAATATGTAGAAATCTACCTATGTCATGCTTATATTGATACTTACTCAAGTGTAGGACAGCAAAATATAATTATAAATGTATGAATGTACGTGGATGTAAATTACGTTGTAAAGCCATTGCATGTGTTCAATATTGTAACATTGATGAATTGTGTGCTGAAAATGAAAAAAAAAAAGATCTGTATTAAATGTTACACCTAGACCGAGCAGGTCACGCTACTTTAATCGGTTTAATCGTTTTGAACTTCATGTATTTTAGTAAAAAATTGAAAATCCATTGAAGAAACTTCATAAACTGTAGTAGCTAAGTAATTTGATGTGCTGATTTGTGCTTCCTGTGGTCTACTACCTATGATTACATTATCAATACCTATTTTATTTCCATTCTTTAATTCTGCAGTCACTGTTAGTTATTTAGAGCATTTAGACATAATGTTTTTTAAATAAATATTATTATTAAATTATTATTTATTATTAACCTTTGTGTACTGACTGCATAGTGCATTTGTGCAAAAGGTGAGCAGATAAAGAATAAGTGTTAATTAATTCATGTTTTGTATGCATAATCGTATTAATGTAAGATGCTTGTAAGTTAACTTAAATGTGTAAATTAGGATAAGTTAAAACATAAACAAGTTATTGGAAACAAAATGCCAAAATAATTTTTAGAATCAATTACGTATTCCAAAAAACAAATGTATCAATCTATCTTCTGAACACAGAATATAGTTTTTTTTTTATAAGAAATTTTACTGCGCAGCATTCTCAAGTTGGTTTTACAAACCCTAATCAGAAAATTACTACGGAAGGTGCCAGTCTTTTCTTTTACTGGTAATATGGACACTCGTTTCAAAGTTTTCTGGTCGTCTAGTAAAAACCGCTTTAACCGCTTGAATGCACCGATATGAGACCCAATAGAAAATACAATGTGTCTCGCGTAGATCTGTGTTTAAACATACGAAAGGGTACCTATCTATAGGTACGTTACTTTTACACCACTTTTACCATAGTAGGATGTATCAAACCACCGCTGCAGAAAAATACTAATTACCCGTAGATTACTTGCATTTTCTAATATATTCTATGCATTTTCTAGTATACATACAGTTTTGATAACCGTATATTTGGATAGACTAGGGTTATTTTCACACATCAATATTGAAGTATGTAATAAAGAAATGACGACAATTCCCTGAGTACATCAATTAAAATTGCTATGAATATTTCATTCATCGAATATTCATTGATCGCTCACTTTTATTAACAGTAGTTATTATTTATATTATTTTAGAGAAAGAGAGAGCACTTTTACTTCTGTCTGTTTCTTTCTTCTCGAAAGGGGGGTTAAAAATAACCCCCCGCTATTCTTTCAGGTATCTATGTAATGCAGAGCATGTGAAAAGGTACTTAAGTGCTAACTAATGACGAACCGGGGGGCCTAGCTAGTGCGAGTTTGTTATAAATGTTGACGCGGTCGAAGCAGTACCGCGTTTACCTCTGATTGGTTGGTTAATTGAAGCTGGCCAATCAAAGTGCCGAACTACCGAACGTCATAAATGTGTCGATCACGGCAACGTCAAAGAAACTCGCACTAGGCCCTCAGAAGTAGGTACTAGGGAATTGGAATCATTAAATCTAGTTAGGTATTATAAGTTACCAAGTATTAAATAGATGTACTAAGAAAATTAATTGTAAGCTTTGTATGTCGTATTAATGATTGAATATGAAAGCAAATAGTGAGGTCAAAATGTTAGAATAGAAAAATATTATCTGTATGAATGACGTACTTAGGTATGTACTTACAGTGAAATCTATTATTCCTAGTTTTTTTAAGACTTATTTATTGGAACATAAGTATTACTTAAGTAGAAGCAAACCTCTTCAGTACCTTCTTAAAAATCTGGTGAAATATTTGAAATACGATTAATACGACGTCGTGTCGTTAGCGTGTCGTCATGACTCACGACCCTCGACTACCAAACGCAGTGAACATCACATGTGTTGGGCTACCATTAAAATATACCAATATCTGGTTGTCACCATTATAAATTTATTTCTATAGCCGATTATTTATCTACTATTGTTGTATTTTATTTCATACAAAATATGTATCAAATAATATTATGTAGGTATATCATGTATTGTAATAATAAAATAGGTAATTTCTCATGGGCCGAGGTGCGACTTTAAGTACCTTTTAAAATTAAACAATAATAAAATACTGCCATTGGATTAGAGTGGATATTCATATAATAAAATTGTTAATAAGTAGGTAAGTTTGATTGATATTAAATATGTACCCACCTTTATACTGTTGTAGTGCCAATGTATATTATTTTGTCAGATGATCCACAAAATTCAAATGAATAATATCTTTAGAAATGTATTAGAAATAATACCTGAATAACGTTTAATCACGTCATAGTCTCTGGCTTTTCCAAGTAAGTAGTCCCCACTTTATTAACATAGAATAACTTATACAATGCTACAGGTTAAATTACCTCTATATACCCTACCTATTTCGCTACATAGGTAGGTCTGTGTAGTGAAATCTATTTAAACATAGATAATAAGTGTCTAGATAGTTATGAGACCTATAAATGTCGCTCTTCTTACAATTATTTGCAATAAAATTTTCAAATCATAAGTCGTCATAATAGTTACTTCTTTTCTTTGTACTTTCTATTAATCCAGAATCCTATACTAAATGTTTTATCTGATAAATTTAAACTCAACTCCAATTTTATTTACTTAGATACTTTACTTAACTGTCCTTACATTTTTCTACTTCTATTATGATTAAGTATTATGAAGCTATGATTGGATGTTGCTCTTATATTATAGTATCTAAATATATATTTATACTTATATATTATAATAATTAATGCCAGGCATTACCTACGTTAAGTAGATTTGTGTAGACGTGTATTCGGAATGTCACGCTATAACGCTTTGTTATAAAAATGTAATACATTATTTTTTGTGCTAATTTGACTTTAATTCATGCTTAATACACTTCCTTATCTACCTACTCCTTAATTCTGTTATACCGGAGTCAGTACTCCAAAACATACTTTCGCAGTCCTTACAAATTAAAAAAAATGTTTAGCCTTCAAGAAGCGCCATCTCTTCGTTTCCCCCAAAACAAACGTAAATATATGATGTTACCGCCATCTACCTAACTGTATTGTAAAACACTTTGCAAGGACGAACCGTAATAAGGAACTATTTCTCATTTCTATACAAAAGATGGCGCTGTTATTTAATTCGTTCTACAGTGTTGCTACCATATTATAATGAATATTCCAATTATTAGAGGAAATAATTTACTCAAAAAACGTACGTGAAATTTCTTATTATACATAATTTATATTATTATAAGTTTATTGAATAAAATAGAAATTTAATTCAATGCTTTTTAGTGGGCACATTTTGATTATTTTTGTAAAAACTATTTACTGGCTAATGTTGTACCTATTTCGCTATAAACTTTAGTCATGTATTAGCTGAGTAGGTAGGTAGGTTTATTATGAAATATAAATATATTTCTACTCTGTCACTTGCATGATCCTAGAATAACCTATTTGACCTAGAAACTCTTGATTTATATGAACGCCTGTACATGAACGGATTAAACTATTCGTGCCTAATTATTGATTCAGTGCAACATTAAAATATAATGAAGATATTCATCGGCAATTTTATTTATTACAATATTTTTTTTTAGTTACACGGTAAAATTTTAGACGGGTATGGCAACATCGCTTGCTACATTCATTCATATCATTCGGCCGAAGGAAGCAGGTGTGGATTGTTGTGTCGCGCAGCGTCTGTTATGGCGGGCTTTCGTCAATATGAAGTTTCTTCAAACTTTTAAAACTTAAAAACATGAACTAAAACTTATTTATAATTATTAGAGCGTAGCAAAAACTGCACGGTACTGTTAAAAACCGCTAATAAGTGAAAGTTCACTGGTCAGGATGTCGGTTAATTCAAAGTGGCGGTTACCTGACGTTTTTTGTGTTGGTGTGTTGAATGGATGTCGGAATTACGTTTAATTCGTGGCGCGGGATGGGTGAATAAGTGGTTCAAGGTGTTTTGGGACTACTATCGAGATGCCTTTCGTGCAGCGTGCAGTGGAACCTAAGTTTTTATCGCGTACGAGCTTACGAGACAACGATGGCCAGCCGAGGGTTGCGGACGAAGAGCTTCAAGCTGTGACCAACTGCACCCTTAGCAATGCACTCAGACAGCTCGCATCCCTAGTGCTGCTGGCGGAAGATATCTTCAGCGAGTTGACAGTGCAACTTCAAGATATAACCGAGCGATCAAAAGTAGCGCAGACGAAGATCATCAAAATAAATGAGCTAGTTGAACAGTATGATCCGAAGAAAGTACCAGTCCGTGAGTACAATATTTATTTGACCTTGATTTTGCAAACTTCTTGAAAAATCTTGTCCCAGACGGAACTGACGCACGTGAATGCTTAGATATCCCCAAGCCACCACCTAATTGCTAATTAATATGCATCGGGCAACGATACCTACTTTCTAGGTGACTATTCAAAGCACTGAAGGCATAATCAGACTGCAATTAACACTAAAAGGTTAAGCCTTCACGCTCTGTTCACCTGACTAATGGAAAATCAGGCCACCAATGTTTTAAATTTCTCTAATTTCTACTTTTTATTAATTAGCTAAGCCTACCCGCTTATTTATTTTATTCAGTTAAAGGTTGTTTACAAAATTACGTAGGTAAATAAACATCGAATTGTTTTCGATAACCCCTTTAGTTTACTCGTTCTATTGAATGAAACAGTCGTCCTAATTAATCTGCATCTTAGTTTATTTAAGTAACTAGTCTTAATTTATTACAATTATTCAAAGATATCACCACTTTAATTGATGTAAGTAGGTAGGTACCTACCTAGTTAGCAAGAAATGTTAAACCTAAATAGTTATTACTTATATACTTCATAGTATAACGTATTTAAGTAGCTACTAATGCATTTATCTACTGTATGAACAGATTTACCTAACCGTGTAAGTATTATAAATTGTGCTAATATCTATCTAGGTACCTAGTTAATTTCAATGCAAAGGTTGCATTGCTGTGTTTAATCTCGTTTAATATGGGTGCGATAGCCGCTCTATTGCAATCAATGTTAAGTAAATATACGCAAATAAGTACTCCCTTACCTAGGTAGGTAGGTGTTTATCTACAAAGATTAGTAGCCAATTAAAAACATCAAGGAGGTAGGTTATCTAAAACTTATCTAGTTGAACTTCTCCTGTTGCAGTCTTTGTAAAAATATGTTTATTTAATGCAAGCTGCCTTCTTTGTCACATCTTTAAAGTTTCATGTTATGATAGGCTACATGTCTAATGTCCCA